GGCTGTGGTGTCAAGGACAGCCGTGTGACGACGAAGATGCTGGTCCAAAGTAGAAGAAGGTGCAGGCGGTGGTGGTGGTGGTGCAGGTGGTGGAGAGGGAAGGAGGATCGTTTGCACATGCTGCCGTGTGTGCCCTCGGAAGAAAAAAAAGAAAAAAATACTCGAAAGGGCCGCGTTGATCCGTGTCCGCTCACCTCGATCAACAGGGTGTGTGTGAGGGCGCGCAGAAAGAGGGGTTTCTGGTGGTGTTGTCGTCGAGGTGTATGAGTCGGGGTAGAAACGGTTCAGTGGCGGTTCAGTGGCGGTTCAGTGGCGGTTCAGTGGCTCAAGAGGGGAACCCTCCCCCCATCGGCAGAAAGAGTGTCCGCTGTTGCCGGGGAATAAGCCCCGTTGCCGGGCGTTGAACCTTTCCCCCTCTCTGTTCCCCGCTGTCCCATTCACGTGCATTCATGCATATGCACATCCTCACACACCCACACCCCGACGCAGCCCGCAGAACGGTCGAGTCACCCGCCCCGCCCCACGGCGACACAAGGACGCCACATCAACGCCCAGTACCCCCCTCTCTTGTTGCACTGCCATGCTCCTCTCTCTCTCTCTCTAGAACTCTCTCTTGATCTCTCTCTCTCTCTCTCTCTTGAGCTCTCTTTCTCTCTCTCTCTCTCTCTCTCTTGAGCTCTCTCTCTCTCTTGAGCTCTCTCTCTCTCTCTCTCTCTTGAGCTCTCTCTCTCTCTCTCTCTCTCTCTCTCTCTCTCTCTTTCTCTCTCTTGAGCTCTCTCTCTCTTGAGCTCTCTCTCTCTCTCTCTTGAGCTCTTGAGCTCTTGAGCTCTCTCTCTCTTGAGCTCTCTCTCTCTCTTGAGCGCTCTCTCTCTCTCGCTCTCTCTCTCTTGAGCTCTCTCTCTCTTGAGCTCTCTTGAGCTCTCTCATATGCTCTCTCTCTCTCTTTTGATCTCTTCTTTTGATCTCTCTTTCTCTCCCTAAATCCTAAATCTCTCTTCTCTCTCTCCCTATGTTTCTCTCTCTCTCTCCCCCCTTCTCTTTCTCAAACCAACCAAACCAATGATGATTCACTCTCTCTCTCTCCC